AAAATAAAGTTAGCAGATAGGGGCATCGAGAGATCCCAATATTAGACTGCCAAGCGGTGGTCCTTCCAAAAGGAAGATGCAGGTTCGAACCCTGGAAAAAAGTGCATTTTATTCATTATGACTCTCGGTAGACATAACTTTCTAAAAAAACATCGATGTAAAAATATATCTATGTATTTTTCGAGTGACAGAACTAATTTCAACTTGGAACTAATTTCACCTCGGAATTAATTTCAACTCGGGACTAATTTAAACTCGATTTAAAATCAAAGTTATCAATTTCCGTGAATTTCTAAACAAAATACAATGAGTTGGTGTTAATTTTTTAATTTAGCATTAAAAATTCATAGTAGATAAGATAATTCAGATTTCATGTTTTCTGCAACTTTCATTCTTTTTTGTAACAAATGAATAAAGTGGTACTTTTTTATTTACTTTTTTTTTCATTTAAATCTGATTCAATTAAAAATGCAATGCTCTTTGTAGCAAAAACAGTAGACTGCTTAGCTGTTGTTTTTTTTTTGTAAAAAACTCTCTTTCAAAAGAAGCTGTTACTGTTGCTTGAATTTGAAGTTGACATATTGAAATTGGTTAGCTTAGAAAATTTCAGGTGGGAATCAGAAATTGTCAGGCGGCATAGCGAAAAGTGTTTGGCGGTCGCTGCTAGAAATTAGTTCCGAGTTGAAATTAGTTCCGAGTTGAAATTAATTCTGCACCCCTATTTTTCGTGTGACGCGTTTCCTCATTTATGACTTCATCAGACTAAAGTGATTTTTACGTTGATGCAATTATAGATACACACGATGGAGTGGAGACACTGAAATTTTAAAATTTTGAATAAATTTTTTTAGTAATATATCCTTGAATATATATAGTCTAGCCACTTTTATTTAGTTTCTTTTTCTTTTTTATCGCTTTTGTTATTAAGTATCTCACATTATGACAACCAAATGTCGGAGTGAACAGTTAGACATCCAGTGAAAAATACATATATGTAGACATACGGGGGCTCTGCATAGAAGTAGTACCTTTGATGTCTGGCAGGCTGCACCTTTGGGTGGATTTGCATCACTGGTCCTCAACTATCACCTAAATCTCTCCTGTGATGGCTCTAAGTTACTATGCCCCGATAAACCGTTTCAGCTGGCGAGCTAAACTCACGTGAGTGGGTGGTGTTAATGCGGCACCACTGGGCAAAGAACCTTGACGACGCTGGTCACCCCCCAGAGAGGAAGGGTTCCTCAGATGAACTACAACGTCCACCTATTCGCGACTAAGTTGGAGGACTAACTGTGGTCTAACCTGGATAGGGACAGGTTGTGGTCTGACCTGGATAGGGAAGGGCTGTAGTCTAACCTGGATAGGGAGAGGCTGTGGTCTGACCTGGATAATGACGGGCTGTGGTCTAACCAGGATAGGAACGGGCTGTGGTCTAACCAGGATAGGGGTGGGCTGTGGTCCAACCTGGATAGGGACGGGCCCCGCCACGTTAAAAGGCTCAGGACAGGTCACACCAAGAAACCATTCGTGGAGACCCATGCTCTGGCACATAACCGCGAGTAATGGACGAGAATGGAGGACAATTTAGCACGTCGACTTTCCAACGACACCTTCCGCCGAAAATTATTATCATTATTATTATTATTATTATTATTATTATTACAAAAGGATCTGCCAAAGAATGTTTTAGAATCTGGACGCAAGTTTACTGTGGATGATCTAGCGATTAAAGCACTTTCTATACATTTTCATCTTAGTTAATTGCTTTTTCTTTTAATTAAATTATCATTTTTTAAATCGGAATTATGTCCAGGATCATTACAGTCAATAATCAACTCATTGAGTATGTTGTTTAGTAAAATATCCTTTTTTTGTTCATATAATCTTTTATTTAATTTCTTCAAGTTTTCTTCTATATATTTCTTATCGACATTATGAGAGATGATCGAGTAAATCCCTCGCTGATTCTTTAAATCACTATGATTTGGGTTCGTACTAATTAAGTTCAAAAAATTAAATTTAAAAATATCTTGCGCATGGGTAAGTTACAACAGCATAAACATCACTTTGGTCCGATGAAGTCCTAAAGGACGAAACGCATAAAACGAATTTTCTTTCCTAATTTGTCATTAATTTTCCTAACATTGTTCTGGTATATAAACATTTAGATACCATTTTATCCCATATATACCGAGTGTAACAGCAAAATTTGTCAAATGCTGTATCAGCAAAATTGTCAATTGCTCGAATAAGATTTGAACCATTGTATCTTAGAAATGATTAAAGATATCTTACTGGAATTCGCCGAGATTTTCATAACACTATTGGACTTTACTTTGAACAAGAAGAATGTATGTAGCTCTAAGCTGAAATGATGATCCCTCTTGCTGTTGTGACATCCTGATCCAGTTTTCCTCTCTACTGTTCCCTCTTTTTTAAACTTGTTCTCTTGATAGTTTTTCAATGGACTTTGAAGATGGAAGCCAGATCATGAATGTTGGTACCATTACTGAAGGCCTGCATGATATTTTCCCTCTAAACATTGCTCACTTGGGAAGACAGTAGGTCAGACACAAAACGATTTTAACCTGTTCTCTTTCTAGTTGAATATATCTAAGAGTTCTCAGTGATTCTTACAACAAATGATGTCAAGATGGCTAAACGTTTGATCTGAAAACCTGGAAAAAAACTCAATTAGTTTAGTGGTTTTTTTAGATATTAAACATTTTGTGGGATAGACAATTATCACATGCCGTTACACGATTTGGACAATTTTGCTGTTACACACGGTATATAAATTTCTTATTAGCTATTTATTGCAGTTTCTTTGCATCTGTCCTGTTCCTTTACATATATCATCATACTGCCTATCTATCTATCTATCTATCTATCTATCTATGTTTTGTGCACGTCTGCATAATTTTCTTAGTTTCCATATATATATTTGTAGAGTAGAAATGGAAAGTTTCAATGGATAATGGGTGACTTCAACAGGCAGACATAAGTTGCCTCGTCCAGTATTATATAAACAGCTGAGTGACCTGGGCCGAGATATAGTTTTGGATTCGGGGCACCTCAAGGTGGTGTAATGGTTAGCAAGCTTGTCTAGCTAGAACACATTACGACTAGCAGTGGGTTCGATCCTCTCTGGGTGTCCCATACTTTCAGCCTCGTGCCGCATCTAAGCTACGCTTGGAAAAACGCTATATTTTTGTATTTGTGTCTCGTTGGTACGAGAATAAAGTAATTTAGAATTACTACTACTACTGCCGTTTGTTTTTATTTTATAATCTTAAGTTCATATATCTAAAAAAATCAATTTCGCTTAGAACACTACAAGGGCAGGAATATAAAACACCTTCATAAAAACGTCTGATAAAGTACGTCGCAAAGGGCGACTTCAAATATGAGACAAGTTTGAGTTACATGGAAAATATTCGTGGAAACAGTAACCAATAGACAGCAATGTACTTTCTCGCCGTTTTGATTCAATTTATACAGCGAGACACTCCCATGAGAACAGAAAGTCTTAGCAAGATTTATTGGAGGATATAATCTTCACAAGATAAAGTACTGGGATGACACAACGCCTGTGCCATATTCAGACTAATAACTAAAAGAACTCCAAGACAACAATAAAGGAAAAATGATTAATTGTAAGAAGACAAAATCCATAGTTGTCAGTAAAAGATACAGACCAAAGTGTAAATTTCGTATTCTAGATGTCAAAATAAAGCAGCTATAAAAATTCAACTATCTGGCTATATTTCTGAGATGAGGTATTATGTACATTATTTACATTATTCGGACTATTGTCCTCATCTTTTTCTCCATATTTATTACATCGTTTCGGACGTTGTGGCACTGGAACAGTCTTCCCCAGTGAGTAAAATAAAGGTTTCAGTTCGACGGTCCAACCACCTGAAGAAGGTCAGAGCGTACAACGGCCGAAACGTTGTAATAAATATGGCGACAAAGATTAGGGCAATAGTCAGAATAATGTAAATAATGTATCTGGCTACTGTGGCAAAACATAAACATAAAACATAACAGAGAAATCCGAAGATGTATAGTAATATTTTTATTGATTCGTTTTCTACAGCTTAGCAACCATTTGTAGGTTATTTAAGGCCAAAAAATGTTTTTTCTTCTTTTTATTTTTGGAGATAAAACGTATACACGTTAACATCTCTTTGCCGTCTTGATTTCATAGTCTATCTATCAGTATTCCCTTATATTAGGACCTTAATTGTGCATCATCGGTGTGTATTAATATTTACTGCTACTATAGTATATCTACCTAGACATTTGTAACCTACCGTAAATGGCGATGCACTCTACCAAACATCTCGCTACAGCAATTAATTCCTCAAACTACATACAATGTTATTTTAACTTAATGTGCGGGGTATTTATCTAAATTGTATTCATAAAGGAGGTATTTATGTAATTCAGTTACAAAATAAACAAGCTAACGTCAAACAAAATAATTCTAAACCATTTAGTTTATCACACTAGCGCCATGCTGGCCAGACGCCTTTACAAAATAACCACAATTGAAGATGAAGCAGTGTCCTTTTTAAGATTTAGGGCTAGGGCTTTTAACATATTTCATACTTCTGACAGTTGGTAAATATAGCACTGTAGAAAATGAATAGTAGATCTCATCCTACAGTAGAAAATGAATGGTAGATACCATACTATTGTAGCACCTAATATTTTATTGATTGAATCGTTTGTTACGGCTTATCATCCCTTTGCAGGTTATTTAAAGCCAAAAATATTTTAGATTGCAAGAAGTTTTCTTTTTTGAGATAATAATGATGTAATTATACATGTCCTACTAATTAAAACACAACTGGAGATGGAAGAGGTGCATTCATCCATTTCCTGAGGGAATTTCCGCATAAGTGAATGTAATAAACCCAACTGGAATTGGAACTCGGCTCTGCGATTAAAAATTACGAGCCGTCATCCATTACACCACACGAACATCCAAGCTTACAGCACTTGGTATTTCCAAGCAGTCACCCATCAAGGTACTGACCAGGCTTGACGTTGCTTAAGTTCGGTGATCGTACAGGAACCGGTGTCTCAACGTAATGTGGCCGTAAGCCTGTATAGGAATAAAGATAGTTGTCTTTCAGAAACTAAGCAAATTATAAACAATTAAGAAAACTGATTAGTTAGTATGAAGAAGGAGACAACATTCTAAATTTCACATTTTATAAAATAAAATACTTACAGTTTCGTTTTCTCTTAAAGTCCTGTTGGAATCTTTCTCTATTTGACGTAAGTTATTTTTTTACTTTTATTGGCGGTTTTCAAACATCGTTTTGTAGTCTTGGCAATGATTTCCAACGTCAGGTTTTGTCTGAACATAATGCTTCGAAAAAAAGAACATTTTCAGCCAGTCTCAATGTGCTTAAGGCTAGCAGAGTTAGGTTTAATGCTGAAGCGAAATCTTATTGATTTCTACTGTCTAAGGTTAACTGGCGTGGATGGAATGATGCATAATGCCTTTATCAGCTAACATTTCTTTGTACTTGAGATCAAACTTCTGTTTGTGAAATCGATGACTCAAAAGATATTGACATTTACCACCTGCCGGCGTGGTAAGTAAAATGAAATAACTTTCAACAGAAAGTAAAAGCAATGTAGAACATTTCTCGACCTAATCCAGTTTCTAAAATAGACCACAAATGACCATACACAAGATTTTAATGGAAATAGACCTTTGTATAACGATAAACTAAATCAGGCAGCAATATCAGGAGATTGGAGGTTTTGAGGAATGTGGAATCAACTCTTCATTGCAGTTGTTCCCAGGTCCATCCTGACGCGGGGTGGGGTTGCACCTGTTAGCTTCTCAGTTATGGGCAAATAATGAACGACAAAATTGCGATCAAAGCAGTATGGATGTATATAAATACATTTTTACAGTAAAAATATCAGTAATACATTATATAAATTTATAGTAAAATAATACAACAATAAAACAACAATACAACATAAATAATAAAATGATACAACAATACAACACTAGAAAGTATAAAGATACATTTTTATAGTAAAATTATCAGGAATACATTTTTATAAAAAAATTACCAACAATATTTTTTTATCATCTACAAACTATATATCTAAAACAAGATACGCTTACTTTGGAAGTATAAGATTGTGGACGAAATACCTGTAGTATAAAGCATCAAATTGCGTTCAAAATATATGTAGCTGAAGCCATAAACTTGCATACAAAATATTTCGATTTCGGTATTAAATATAGCAGAGGGGTTGATATGCCGCTAAACAAAATCAAACAAAATTATAAAAATCAAACAAAATTATAAAATAAACTTTCGGAATTCATTGACCGAGAAGCTTGTGCTACTCAAGTTAGGCTTTCTTCATTCTGGCCATTGGGCTTCGTTGGGCATCTTTCTCCATATCTCCAGTGGTAATGGCAATATTATTTCTTTCCTCATAAGGGAATATTCGACCGAACAGCCAATTACGAAGTTCTTCATTTCCTGGCCATCGGGTGATATCAAATCTTAGTATCTGTTCTACCCATTGCTAATGGTAATATTAGCCGTTTATTTATAAGGAAACATTCGGCATTCATTGACAATGCAGCCAACTTTCAATTGAAATTTATAAAATATTTCTAGTAAAAATTTTTTTTTCAGGTATTAACAAGAGTTGCCTTCCTAACTTTTTGTTTGAAGTAGTGTGGAACCTCAACATATTGATTATGTCATTATTCACTCTTCGAGTGGTATTCATTTTAGCTGTTGTTGATGATGTAAGTCCTAAAGCAATGTGGCTTCTGTTATCTAGCCCAGTTCTTTGCGAATGTGTAGCGACAGCCTACGAGTTGGGAAAAAAGATGGTCATCGCTAAGACCTACGCGCTTCTCTCGCTTGAAGCCATTTTTTAAAATCATCCATCTGATTTTACATATTTCTCGTCATGTATGCCATGCATATTTGTCGTCATGTATGCCATGCATATAAATGCATATAAATGTCGCGGTGTGAGGAGAATATTTCGGAATAGGAGTCAAGTTTTTTTTGGTTTGAATTTTGTCAAGTTTTTGGTTTGAGTTTTGTCTTTGTAACAACTGGGCAAAAGTACCCCAAGCACAACCTTTCTTGTGTTTCTATGTTAACTTTATTTATCGCTTATACTAAATTAATTATAACTAGGTACCTTCATGAAAAAAAGAGCATAACATGATGAAAAGGACGCCAAACTTGACGAAAACAAAATTTTATCGTCTAAATTCTTATGCTATTATTAAGAGAAAAAATCAAAGTTTATTGTAATTATTTAAAAAAAATTATTCCTTCTTTTTAGAACATTCTAAATTTTGAATAAAAAACCTTGTTTCTCTTTGTATCACCGGAACTAGTAAATAACATATACAATTTTTAGCACGTTTTTTTGTATGACATATATTAATTTGGAAAATCTTGCAAAAATAAAAATAATTGTCGGATGTTAATGAAACTTTCAGGAACTATTCACAGATGATCGAAAGTCATGGCAGAAATATTTTTTATATTTATTACCCTCCCCCATAACTTTTATAAAAACGCTAGAAATTCTATCGCGTCAGGTTTAGTGATTACAATAGTTAAAAGCATAAGGCTTTGAGGAATGCAAATTATTTTTTTTTTGTTTTTAATTGGACACCCCCTACCTGAAAATCAGCTCTGAATTGTAACACAAAACTCAATAAAACAAAGATATTTAATTTCAAATGTTTTTATTTGCTTTTATTTGTTTTTATGAATATGGACAATATTTTCTGAAAGCAAAAAAAAAAAAAAAAAATTTTCGATGAATAATGCATTTTTAATACAATTATTTGTTATTTCTTTAATTATAATAGATTTTTACATAAGTTAAAAGCCGCATCGGGTTTCCTAAGTGTCCTTATGAGATAGATCTTTTTTAGCGCGTTGTAAATTGTATCATTTTGACTAATCAGAAGATCCGCAGTAATTAAGAAATGTAATTTTGTGTTTATAATCGGGCTCTAATTATAAAGTACGGAAGACCAATCAGAATACAATTACATTCACTTACGTGCTAATAACCTTGGGAAAGGTATGAATCCTTCTCTTATCCCCCAGCTATGCGTAAATAGCAGGACAGACCGGGTTCTATAGCCTTGGATAGCAACTGGTCTACCGCAGAAAGAAATGACAACCTACTGCAGGAAAAAAAATCTGCCTTGTCAGTCATGTATCGAAAGATACGTGATCGTCTAAGCGTGTATCACGCATGGCACATAACTAACTGGTATTTATTTACGTGCTAATACTCTTGGGAAGGGATGAATCCTCTTCTTTTCACCCCCAGCTATAGGTAAATAGCAGGACATGCCGGCTTCTATAGCCTTGGATTGCAACTGGTCTACTGCAGAAAGAAGTGGCAACCTACTGTGGGAAAAAATCTGCCTCGTCAGTCATGTATCGAAAGATACGTGATCGCTTAAGCGTGTATCACGCATGGCACATGACCTACTGATTTTTTGTTTAGCATTTTCAAAGAAGGTTATCGGTACAGTTTTCATTTAAAGAGATTTATCTGCTATCTTTTAGATCATGAGCCAGCATCCAGATTAAAATTATCCAGTTTAAAATATCAAATAACAAAGTCTTAGACAGGGAAGCCATGTGCTTGGTGTTTCTAGCTTTTAAAAATAAAGATGTTTTAAATATAAGAATAATTCATAAATTACTTTTCTGTTACCTTGGGTCGCACCTTGCTAGATTTGATGGTACATTAGGGCATCCAGATGCATCGGTTGAGTAACGCTGATCTAAGGTGTATGACAAATATGTTTAGATTTATTTGCCTCACCAGGAGGCTAAATATGACACCCACTCATATGGACCGACTTCAAAATTGCCCGGTCTCATCGGCTTGTGTCGTAAAAGTGTCAACGTGACTCCCATTCACAATTTCCGTTTAATGTGGAGACCTTATTCTGAAATTCAAATCTCTAAAGATTAAACACATCTGCTTCAATTTTATGACATTTTTTCGGCCAAAGATAAGAACAGTGTTGATCCCCAGGCAGGGAGGTCTAGGATAGACGAGAAACGCTCTGCGTGTGATCTAGAGGAAGATTTATGTAAAAATCCATATTTCTTATACAGCTCTTACTTTCTACCTACTTATTTTATATCTCTGTCACATTTTACTGTTTTTAATAAAGAAACCCTCTCCATCTAATGTACAGTCACGCTTTCTATATGATGATAAGGCGTAGGCGGCAGCAAAGATATGACAGTTTTATGAAGGAAGATAAGTCGTTTTTGCCAAAACGCAGTGCCAAGACATTGTAGGAACTATATTTTCCTTGGAACACTGACAGACAGGAATATATGAAAGTTCAAACACGTTCTTAGAAACCGCCCTTTTCATCTACAAAAAATCAAAAGAAAAAACAAAAACAAAACAGAACAAAAAAGACAAAAAAATTATCTTCTGCATTTAGTATTTCCCAGTATTTACTTAAACTAGTGGTATATACTAATATGCCTTAGGTTTTTATTAATATTACTCGAAATTTCAAGATTTTCCAATGTGAATTTTCTGATGAATCTTAATTCTTAAGTTAATGAATGAATAATGTCATGATTCGTTCTATAAAATACCTGTAAAAATTCCCCTATCACACCGTTAAATATTTGAGCTTAACAACTTCGCATATTTAAAATATAATTCAGCAGACGATGTTATTTTATTTATGGTAACTGGATTTTTGGCGATTGCTTTTCAAGGTTTCTATCATTCGGACGTCTGAAAAATGGTGCTTTTATCGCAGTCTCGGCATTTTGGTTGGGCTGAAAGTAAAGTATGTGTTCTCGGGCAGAAAAACTAGATTTCATCAGCTGTGTGTCTGTTCGAACGGAGCGAAACTCAGTTGTGTCTCTGTTTGCGTATTAATAACAATGCTAATGGGGGCTGGGCTATTTTTAGACCTAGTCCGTGTGCACGTTCTCTAGCTCATCTCATTAAACTGACCTTTTTTCACAGCCTGCCAGCGTGGGACGAAAAAGAAAATCAATCGCTTCTCGTCCTTTTGGCTGTAGCA